GAGGCCCAGAGGTGGAAAGAGTCGATGGATGGCCGCTGAGCGACTCTCGCGGAAGCCGAATTGGGAATGGTTTATGGGTGTGTAGTTGGTGGGGTGCCGATGATCTTTGCCGGGTTTAGGAATCAAGGACACGTCGTTGTATTTGTCTCTTCGGTCTGATAGTATTATTTCATCGGGGAGGGGAGGGTGCAGTCGCTGGGTGTGAGTGGTGGTTCGTTTGTAGGTGCGAAGGATATGGTGGTTCAGGTGGTCAATGGATTTATCTATGGAAGGTATTGTTGGGAGGTTGGCTGGGACATGTATCTTTTTGGATAGGATATGTTTGTAGGATTTCCAGTTGGTGTTGTGGATGGTTGAGGGTTTTGGGGAAATGTAGGTAGTTGTGGATGAGGAAGGGAATATAATTGGGAAGTGGTCGCAAAAGTCATAAAGGTCATATTTGGGGTTCGGTGTGGTGACATGTAGTTGGGAGCAGTGCAGGACGAAGTGGAGGATATCGTAAGGGTTTCCGTTGACTGTATGTGTGGGTTGAAGGGGACATTTGATGTGGATTTGGGGATTGTTGTTCAGAAAGTCTTCAAGTCTCAGTCCACCTATGTTACTAGTCGAGCAGCCCCATCCGGTGAATTTTGAATTGACATCGCCTGCAAGGATAAATGGGTGGGGTAATTTGTTAAGGATGTTCAGGTGAGAGGTAGGAAACGAGGAATGGGGTCGTTTGTAGGCTGATATGATAATTATGGGAGTGGTCGGGGTTCCAAGTAGGATGACAGTCCATTCTAGGGCTGTGAATTGAGGACGTTGGTAAGGGGTGTGCGGGAGGGATGGAGGGATGGCCGTCTCCGGGGGCGAAGGTTCTGTCATTCCGGTAGGTGAGGTATTTGTGGATGGTGAAGGAGTTAGTAGGTAGCAGCATCGTCTCTTGTAGTAGTAGGATCCCGAGGGGCTAATCCGCCGCGTGCGTTCCATGAGGAAAAGGGAGACTTTAATTATTTATACGAGTTTAATGGCTGCAGTTATTACTTTTGTAATGATGTCCTCTGGGCCGTTCAGGATGTTTATGAAGGTTCGTAGGTGGGGCAGGAGTTTTTTGAGGGTTGGTGATTGGAGAAGTGAGATGAGGTCTTTGATGTCTTGGGCGGGTGTATGTTGTGAGTTGGATTGGGTTTGTTGGGTACGGAGGCAGAGGAGTACGATTTATTTAATTGTCTGAGGGGTGGGAAGGACTTTGAGGACATGATTGGAGGTAGTGTTTGAGTAGGGGTTTTTGTTTGTTGTTCTCTCATTTCCTTAGCTTTGGTGAGGTACGGGCATATAGGGTCGTAAGCTGGGTGCTTGCGGTTACAGTTGCAGAAAAGGGAGTGGATTGGTCTGGGGATAAGGAAGGGCATTCTTCAGTGGGGTGGGATTTTGCACAAAGGGCGCAGGTCACTGGTCGTCGACAGTATGTCCTAGTATGGTAAAGTGTTTTGGCAGCGTTTGCATTTAGGGATGCGGTCTGAGTTCCTGTAATGTTCAATCCTTGTCCCGTAGTAGTCAATATACGTGAGTCTGTTTTTGTTCTCAGTCATGTCCTTTTTTGTCGTCTCAATTACGTAGAGTCCAGGTGGGGCAAGAAGTCCGTTTACGTGGCGTCGGTTCATGTCTGTGATGTGAAAATAGGGCATTTTTAAGTCCTGGAGGTTTGTCCTGATTCTTTCGAGGTCGTATTTGGGGGGCAGTCATTTAAGTACAAATTACTCCCTGATTTCTTCTGTCGTTCTATTGTAGGAATAAGAAATATTGACAAAATATAGGTCTTTCAGGACTGTGGTCTGTCTCGGATCTTGTTATATGCTGCCATTGTCAGGGGTTGAATCAGTAGTTGAGTCCTATTACATTTCGCAGTCATTGCATTATGGCAGTGTTTGAGCAGGTCTTGGGTCAAGTCTGAGGTGTTGAGGAGGGATTTGAGGTCTATTCTGAATGGTTCTATTTTGCTATTGGTCGGTGGGGTTTTTAGTTGTTGGGATTGCTCCTTTTCAGTTGCGGTTTCTGGAATCTTGTCGTCTGAGGTGCCGGAGGTAGAAGCGTGGGAGGCGGATTGGGTTTGGGGTGGGGGATTAGTCCAGGAGTGTTTGGTGACCAGCTGGAAACCATCTTCAGTCATTAGTCTCTTGGAATTCCTGTCGGGCGAGGGGTCGTGAGGTCGTCTTGCGGTGGAAGTAGCGGTAGCAGGAGATTGCGCTGTAGCGGTTGTCTGCTGGTTTACCGTGTGGTGGGGTTGGTGTTCATTTATGGTCAGTGTCATGCTGTCTTCGTCGCTGGTTTCCATGTCCATGGGTTTCTCAGTTGTAGTGGCCGTGTCGTCTTCGAAATCCGAATCGGGCAACGGCCGAAGCCGCGCCTCTGCCCTGAGGCGCCGGAACAACTCTTCATTTACAGAGGACAGGTCGAACGTAGTCTCTGCCTGGTTGCAGCTATGTATAAAGTTGACTCCCGCCCCACGTGGTCTGCTGATTCGTGGTTGGAAGTACGGTTCTGGACAGCTACGTCACTTTGTAGCTTTGCCTCAAATGCAGGTAGATCAAGAGGAAACATTAGTAGGCATCCATTACAGCCGCTCACCATCCTGATCTAACTTATTCTAAACCTTACATACCCAAACCTAAGTTCATCAATATAAATAGTTTTATTTTACTATTACAGATGATACAAGACAATTAGCTTCTGTTACAGCTTCACTAGTTTCATGTGTGTCTGTAGGGGTGGGGGATATATTGAGATGCGCAGTGACTGTACAATAAACTCACTGCCTGGTTTGCACGCCGGCTGGCCGCGCCGAGAAGGGGCCGACAACGGGATGATGACGCAACGGGTGGAAGGGAGAGGGGGGCGGTGTTTTCCAAATTTCACTTTACGACGCTCCTATTCAGGGCCCGGCAACTCTCCATCAAAATTGGGGGCAAAGCAAGAGGTTGCTACTATAGGATGCGCTAGTGTCGCCGGATACTGCTGCTGGTAAGGCTCGCCAACTTTCGCACATAAAAATTTGTCAAGGAATACGAATACACTTTGATTATGAGCGATTTCTGAAATAAATCACAAAAGAAGTTAAATACTATGTGTTTATCTTCTAAAATTCTTTTATTCATAACAATACCCGCATGAAAGAAAAGGTAGCGCGAACAGCGGCGCGATTTTTTGTATCAAGCGCGTGTGTTTGTGTCCCGAGAACCCACGCACGTTTTAAATAACGTTGGTAGCAGTTCGTATTTTAGTTCGTGTAAGAAGGTGATGCTCTAGAGAGCGCCACTGTAATGGTCCCCACTACGTTATATGGGAGTTACCTGCTCCTATTCATCCGATTTGCATGATTGACACGGCGTTGGATTCTGAAAGCATGTTACCATCGCGCTGCAAGTCCATATTTTTAATTTTTTCTCGGAAGTTCGAGCACCAATTTCGAATTAGTATTTGCTAGCTTTTTGGAAAAAGGACTTCAGCGTAAATTCTATTTTAAAAAGGCGCCAAATGCCATTTAAAGATCAAAATCGGACCATTAGTTCAGACTTTCGCGGTAAAGTAAATTCCCCTGCGACAGTGCTGCGATCTATTAAATTTTCTTAAAAGTATTTTTTGGTACATTTAGCCTTAACAGTACTAGGATGGTGTCAAAGAAGTTGGCATGTAGAAATATTTGGTCCCTGTTTTTCATCCTCGATGGTTTCTCATCCTCAAGGCGTCTCTTTTCCTCTGTATTAGTTTTTTGGGGAAATGATTTGAACCTATTATTTGATGTTTCACTCCCCCAATTAAAATACTCTTTTTTTTAATTTTCTTTTTAGAACAGCATAATTACACCAAGATGACCATTTGAACACTATGCTTTTACTAACAAAATAGCAAGTAATTACTAGCACATTAACACACCAACTCATGTTATACTGAATCTGCAAGTACTGACAAGTTACGATGCTAGGCACAGGTTACCGTGGTCCTATGTATACAAAATTTCATTTACAATTGTTTTGATATCAAACAAAAAAAATAAGAAGATATGAATTTAAAAAAATTACTTTATTGGACACCCTATTGCACATTCTTCTCGGAAGCATTTCAACACACCACCATCAGTTGAAAAATAGGTGTTTTCTCTCAACTCTTCAATCCTTTCATTAATCTTCTTATGTAAAAACCCATCTACATCACGAGCATATTTACATCCCTTGGAGGGAAATGGCAGGGTGTTTCTTGAATTGTGGAAACTCTTTTGCACCACTTATGCTTTGTAAGGCATGCTTAGGCTTATGCTTTTACTTCACGCAAATTTGCATTTTTAAAGTTGTGCCTCTAACAGATTTTAACTTGCCCTGTTCTTCATTTAATATGCAGAAACCTTCAAATACCCAAAATTATACTTACCAGGAAAGATCGAAATGAGTGTATTCATTAAAAAAATTTGATCATTTTCCCAAGCTGCTGTTGGTTCAAAATATACACATTTATGTACCAATCTAGGCTCTAATAATAACTGCTCTATTGTTAATACTTCTGTATTGGCCAATGTCTTCAATATGTTCTGAATTTTCTGTTCTTTTTAAATGTTCCTTACAAACATTACAGAATTATTTGATGTAATATGGCTGAAAATAATTTGATAAAGTTTTCAAGTAGCAAAATATTTCCCCTTATCAATTTATTTATTATTTTATATATCAAATAATAATTTATATATCTATTTACCAAATATTTGAAATTTTAAAAAATGGACCAGTTCTTCCCCTGTATACGTGGATCATTTTTTTCAAGATGCTGTTTATATCTGCTGTTACTTCTCTAAGAAAAAAAATTTGTTCCATTTTCGTTTCAAAATTAGCACCATCCAAACTCTTTTTTTCTACAGTATCTTCACTATTGTAGCTGAAAGTTTTATAACAACTTGGTCAATATGAATTGTATGTTTAATTTACTTATAAAATACACTTTTTCTTGAAGTCATGTTGTGAACCTTGTTTCAGTTGGCTTCATGCTGTGTCCACAAATGCTGTCACAGGACAAGCCAAATAAATTGTGGATGAGTGCATTGGAATCAAGCTGGGTTGTTGCATTGTTTCGAGATGAAGTATTGTATATTCATGCTTACATAATTAATTATTTTGATGGCATGAAAGGATTTGGAAAACGCATATCTGAAGTGAAAGAATGCTATAATCAATCTGTGCAGAAGGCGTAAGTTTCGCTCAAAAGTTATGAGAAATGTTATAATGATTTTTTTAATTGAAGTGTTTACTTTATAAGTGATTACTTTATAAAGGGATCATCCCATATATTGTAATAAAATTGTTTTTAATTACCGAGGAATAAATGGGTGCCACAAAAAGTATGAGGAATTTCTGAGAGAGAGTAAGAATTTATTTTGCTAACTAAATGTAAGATGTTGAATGGAAGGAAAGGTGAGCAAGGCTTTTGCAAGGAAATGTGAGCTTATGCTGTGCTTTTGCATTGAAGAAAGCATTAGACTGACATGATAGTATACAAATACCCAAGTTTTCAAATTTTCGGTTGAGTTCCTCTGCTCTTTAGTTACTTTTAAATGTGGACTTGTGTTGATTGTGTTCTCATATTTCACCAAGTTTACTGTTTAACATTAAGTTGGAGGAGTGTTCCATGCATTTGTAATGAGCCCTGAGATCTTTGTCTGCTAGAGCTCATCGTCATCGTGAGAGACGCAAATTTTTGAGAACGGCATTGAAAGAGCTTGGACTCATTCTCACTGATCAGCCAGGACTCCTCGGCCCAAAGGTAACATTTGTTGACTTATTTTTGTATGCCCAATAATTGCATTGCACTTGCATTTTAATTTAAACATTTTTTTTATGTAGGCATTATTGATCTTCATGGGCCTGTGTTGTGCACGAGATGAAGTGTTCTGGGTCCTTCGTCACAATGATAACCCACCACAACAGAAAAGCAAAGGGAAAACTGCTGAAGATCTTGTTGATCGTCAGTTACCAGAATTACTGTTTCATATGGAAGAATTAAGGGGTAGGTAAAGATGTTTGATTGTTCTTTTCTTTCATAATAAATATTTTTATACCCAGTAGTTTTAATATTGCAGAAACTATGCAAATTTTAGAAGAGAACATACCTTTAGAAAAAGGAATCCAAAACCTCCACACTGACTCACAGATGACGATAAAAATGTACAATGGGAATGTGTCAAAATCTTTCACAACAGAGGGTTAAGACAGAGATGTGGCCTCTTCAACATATATGCCAACCATATAATCAAGGAATGGAAACAAACTATAAGAAAGGGGAAAAATATTGGTAAAAGACAGAAGATTTAAACAATCCTATAGGCTGATGATATAGTCATAATAATGAAATCAGAAGATGATGAGCAAATTACAGCTCATGAACTGTACAAAATAGCACAAAAACACAACTTTGAAATTTCCTTAAGCAAGACAAAAGCAATGGCATATTAGGGAAAAGAAATCAGAAGAGTCAAAATTGTCATAAATGGACAAATAATAGAACAAGTAATTAAATTTAATTATTTTGGCAACCTCATTGGAAGGAGATCAGAAGACTTGGAAAACAAACTTCAGAAAAACAACAGAATAAGTGGATTAATCAAAAGACACTTCTGAAGAGAGATGACTAATGAGATCAAACTAAGAATTCACAATTTGATATCAAAACCAATCCTCATGTACAGTTCAGAAGTCTGAGCAATGAAAAGTAGTGAGCCACAAATACTAGAGGTAATGCATATGAGATTTCTACATCATCTTGCAGGAGTGACACTAAAGCATCGGCAAAGGAGTTAAGATGACAAACAGGCTTGAAGTAGAAGAAATAAAGAATGGACAGAGAAAATAGCTCTCACATGAAGAGAATGGAACAAGAAAGATATCCAAAATCAGTGCTGAAGTACAAACAAGTAGAGTGAAGGGATGTGGGAAGACCACAAAAGAAATGGCTAAATCAGGAAAACTTAAAGAGTGTAAGCTGGGAAACAGAAACAGGCAACGGGTGTAGCGACCTGCAGTTTATGATGGTGGTGGCGGTAGTAATGATGATGATGAGATAGTATGCTGCTTTGGCTGATATGTCAGATGGCTTGGTCTTGGAACCTAAAAATTGAGTGCAAAAGTTAACAATTTCTTTGTAATTCTTAAATCATTTATATTTTTTCAATGCACAGCTTACCACATTTTGTTGCATTGCACCATTAATGTGCATGCATATCAAGTGTTTTAATTTGTTGGCTCTCATCTTTGCTAATTTTATTGGAAAATATTACTTAATCAGTTTATTAGCAATTTTGTAAATGTAATAGTCTTTCATTTTCAGTGGTGTATGATGGGATTGATACATGTTATTGAACAATTCATTTCCAGAAGACTTGCTGATATTGTATTAGTTGTAAAGTAATGCGCTATCACTTTGTATTCTTGTGGTCCATGTTCATTCAGTTCGCACTAACTTAACATACTGTTACTGAATATTTAACATTGTAAACAAGTGATTATACTTTGGTATCTATGCTGATGCATGCATACTTATTATTAGTGACCCCTAGTATTTATTGAATGTGCTCCGTTTTATTGCCCCATGATTGGATACCAATTATTTACTTTGGGATGTTTTAAATTTGTTACTAAATGTACAATATTTTTGTCTTTTTCAGTATTGGTTAGAAAATACAGCCAAGTGATGCAACGGTATTATGTTCAGTACCTCTCAGGATTTGATGCTATTGCTCTGAACCAGATAGTGCAAACATTACAAGTCCTTGCAGAGGATGAAAGCATAATTTTATCTTCATTGTGTAATGTTATTGCCAATTTGTCTGTGAAGCAAGGTATTTTATTTATATCTTGACCTGTGTAGGATTTTAGTTTCAATTAACATTGTGTATTAATTTCTTTATCATTAATGTCGTTTTTCATTGTCTTTGCAGTGGAAGACAATGAGGCATTTGATTTCAGGGCTCTTCGTCTTGATTGGTTCAGGCTGCAAGCATATACTTCAATTAATAAATCACAACTAGGCTTGCAAGCACATCGAGACTTGGCATCTTTGATAGACACAATTATGTTTCATACAAAGATGGTAGATTATTTAGATGAAATGTTAGTGGAAACATCGGATCTTTCAATATTTTGGTAAGTCATTGTTATCAAAAAATTTTCTGTCATTTGCGTAAATAAAAGTTGCTTTATGATTTGATGAATTGCAAATATGTTTATAAAATATTGTAAACAAGACAGGTGTAAGTTTTGTTTGTTTTTGTCATGTTGAATTGGAATAACATAAAGAAAGGGAATGCTACAAATATTTTGACTTAACTAGTGGGAATTTTTCTTCATTTTGAAGAATAATTTGAAATGTCTTGTATTAGTTGCTTTTTAGTCTATGGTTACACATTAGTGTATTAAATAAAAGGGATAATTACTTACTTGATGGATCAGTTATTATTACTAATATTATTGTGTTGTTTGGACTTCTATTTTTCTGTTCAAAACTCTCATGCTTGAAGAAGGGAGACTGAATTGTTCAGCGCACCCTTTAAGCATAATAGGATATCTGATCATAATGTGTGAAGTGTTCATAAGTTAGTTATCTAAAGCATTTTTTTGCTTAGATGCATATTAGTGTTATTCCGACATTTTTGATAGTTATGTGATAGCCTGAAGTGTTGCTTGCTGCTGTTTTTGATGATGTGATTTTGTAATCATAGAACAGCATGTGAATATAGAATATTTACCAGTTAAATCAAGTATATTAAATCATTTTTGTTTTTTCATTCCCTTATTCTGACATGAATTTTTTCTTCATAATTTGATGACTTGAAATTTTTTATACAAGTATAGAAAATACAATATTATAAAAAATTGAGCATGAGTGGTGAAAAATTTTTGTTGCAAAGAAACAGAAATATTAGTCATCTTGCAAATTGTTGGCAATGTGATATACCTTAGAAACACTACATCAGAATTGTGTCATCAGTATCCCAAAGAAATAATCATTAAATGATGTAATTATACATCAATAGTCTCAAAGAATTACTATTTAATACTTCATAGAAGTTTATTAACTGTTTGTTACTGTTTGGGCATTGTATGAATATAATTGAATAAATAAACATCCATCAAAAACCCATTGAGAAATACATCCTAAGAATGTGAATTGTGCCAAGGAAACTGAGAAGCATGATATAATTTGTGGTCTGCTTCTTAACTTTCGGCTCAGATTTAGTATTTGCTGGATTAAAATATTATGAAATAGATCAACTGTATTTGAATTCTTTCTGCATTTGGTCTTTTATAAATTGATATATAAAGGTCATCTGAAAACCTTTTCTTAGAATAGAAACTTTATCTTGATTTCTTTTCCTTAAAATTTGGTTCCTATTTGGTTCTTGTTACTAATTTCTGACTGACTAATGTCCCTGCCTTGGGTAAATCCTAACTATGATTTTAACACTGTTGAGAATGCTGAGGTACATTAATAATTAATATTGTTTCAATGTTACAATAATAATTATTATTATCATCTTCAATCGTTTATATTCCTATGTGCCAATTATAATTACAATAATAATTATTAGTAGTACACTGTAATAGCACAAATTTTAAGGTAATTGTGAAATGATATCTTCTACAGATTCAGGGTTTTTATTATTACCTTTTGAAACTAATGAAATGTAATGTTTTATTTGTATTGCCACGTCTCTTTGGTTGTGTGTCTGGAAACAGTTCTGTACCTGACTATGTAAACCTCAAGAGGAATGTGTGGCAAACCTGAAAAAATGTTCTGATAAAAGAAAAGTCTATCTGTTTATCAGATTAGTGCTTGTTACTTCTCAAACTCTGAATGCTATGTTCTTTTAGAAAATGTACAATTGTTCTGAAAAAAATTGTTGCTGTGTTCCTCTAGTTTCTGGTGTGAAATCATTCATACAAAAAACATTCAAATAAATGGATAATATTCATTGTACATAAAGGCAGTAAATTGGATGAAGGATTGATGTGTGGTGTACCGTGGTTTAATGTTTCATATTATTATTACTTTTCATAAATGAATATTCAGTGAACTGTGGGTAGGGGGAAACTACTTTGACGTGAAGGGAGCACCCAAAATATAGTGAACGTCTTTGTCCCTAATGATAGTAGTTGAACAGTCTTGCCTCCATTCTTAGCTCCAAAACTAAGTACAAAACTTGCAATCAAATTTTTCTAAAAACTGAATTTTAAAACTCGCATTTGGGGTGTACACATTGAAAACAACTCATGAAACGACTACATATTTTTTTGATGCTGGTCAGAACAAGGTTGAGGCATACATGTTTTAAAGAATGAGGTTTAAGAGGTGTTAGGAAATTTTCATGTTGAAATCATTTAGCAATGAGGAAACATCTCGAATGGTAACTTTAATTGTAAATGTATTCACTTTTAAATGCAAACTTTTGTTAAATATTTTTTATTATTACAAAAAATCATTTTAATTGTAGTTTTTTGTTTTATTTAAAAATGTGTAAAATAATGTAATACTGTAATTTCAGCTTTTACAGTAAAATTTTTGAAGATCAATTTCACATGTGCCTGGAATTTCCTGCCCAGAACCGCTATATTGTGGCCTTCCCACTCATCTGTGGGCATTTCCAGAGTTGTACTCATGAATTGTGTCCAGAAGAGGTAGTATGCATTTTAATAGAATTATGGAAATTGGTATGTAGTGTGAATATATTAAAGAATTTACCGAACTTTCGTGTTCTTATCTTTAGAGGCATCACATTAGAGAGAGAAGCCTTTCTGTAGTCAACATGTTCTTAGATGAAATGGCCAAAGAAGCAAAAAATATCATTACTACTATATGTGATGAGCAATGTACAATGAGTGATAAGGTAAGTTTTGAGGTGAAATGCTTTTGCTGATATTTTTTACTAGAACTGTTATTTCAGTTAGAACAAAATTGAAAAAATGGACAAAATTAAGTGTTCCAATGTTCAATTTTTTTCTCTGCTTATTAGAAGAAATTTAAATTTTTGGTAATGAAATGACTACTTCAAATCAACAAAGTAAGGTAATAAAATAAATAAAGGGAATATTAAATATAAGAATTCTTATAAAAATCATTAATTTATTTTATCTATTGTATTTGCCTACCAAATGCTCATTGCTATTTTGTTTTCTTTTCGGTTAATATTTTCTTATGGTTTTGACTATTGTGAATTACTGTCTCAAACGAATGGGTTTACAGATTCTTTTTGAGACCTGCAGTTTTTTTTTTTTACGTAGGGTTGTATGTGATGGATACTGTTCTGTTGTATGATGTTTCTTTCTTGTAAGAATTTCCTTCTTCTACATTAGCAGGTTTGTATCTGAGAACATGTTATCTATTGTTTTTGCAGGGTTAGTTGCCGGTGGGTTGGTCTTACATATGCTGCAAAGACTATGAAACTGCTAATACTTACTTCATAGTTTCAGCTGCTTCAGTTTTCTAATCTACATTTATCACTGCTTGTTGGAAAGTTTTATTTGCTATAAGTATTAATTTGCGGTAGCTATGAAGCTTCTAAACACATTTTCTTGATTGAAGTCCTTTCCTAAATGTAATTAGATTCCTTGTTTGAATATTCCTTGCATTTTGTAGTAGAATTCCAAAATAAAATCTGTAACGTACTTTCTCGTCCTACAAGATGGTATTCTTTTTAGTCCCAAAGTCTGCAGTCAAGCTTCCTTTTGTGGATGCACAATGTTTGCTCATGTAGTGCTTATGCTAATTTGCTGTCAGGCAAGAGATAATTTGTTAAACATTATATAATTGTCAAAGTGTTCTAATAAAGAGCAAGGTTCACATTGTTTGGGTGAAGATCTGGGTTTGAAGCATTTCTGAAGTCAACATGGACATGAAAACATTTTGTACTCTACGAGACACTTGTTCCAATATAACATGATCTAAAGTTATTCTTTACATTCGTTTATCCTTCGCCAGCGTTTTATTACTTATGAAATGTAAACTCTTCTCCTACTGATAGGAATAATTAATCCTGTAAATTTCATTGATATGTGTGTTACTTCAATGAAATCTTCTGGTTTTTCGATCAGAAAATGTAGTTACGATGAAGTTCAGAAATGAATAAGTGTGTTTAAGACTCTTAACAAGATGTGTTTATCGTACTCCTGTCTGAATAGATTGTCTTTTATAAAATTTGGAATTGGATAAATAGTTTATTTAATTCAATGATTTTTCACCAAAAAAATTCAGTTTTTCAAAGAACTACTTTTCTAATTGTAAAAAGAAAGTTTTTGACTTTTTACTGCTCCTGACAGTTTTCATGTTATAGACTGGTTGAAGATGTACAAAAGTCAAGCAAAAATGTTATTACAGTGCTATTTTTTTTTTAATGTTTTAGCTTCTTCCAAAACATTGTGCAATTTTGATTTCCCAAGTGGTGAATCGAAAGAAGAAAGATAAAAATAAAAAGAGTGCCCCAGAGATTGCTAAGCCAGGTGTTGAAAGCTTGAGGAAGACTCGTGAAGAACTTACTACGTAAGATTATTTAAAACTCTTAGGACTGTAAACCGTTACTAATTCAGAATATTGCATGTAAAATATTTTGGCACTTTCTGAGGTAAACATTGTTTTTTGTCCATTAAGGAGGACATTTTCTAAGTGAAAAATGTTGGCAATGTTTTGAAAATGTTTCAAGAAAAGACTTCATTAAGCTCTGCTTTTGCTTTCTGATGGAATCTCTTTGACATCATTTTCTTTCTCAAGTATATATCTTGTTTTAAATGATGCATTATTGAATACTGAAATGAGTAATTCTGAAATAATTTCTTTTTTAGAATGGATAAACTCCACATGGCCCTTACAGAATTGTGCTTTGCTATTAATTATTGTTCTACAATCAATGTATGGGATTACACATTTGCTCCTCGAGAGTATCTCACTCAGCATTTGGAAACAAGGTTTGCGAGAGCTCTAGTTGGAATGGTGATGTACAATCCAGACACAAATGAAATTGCAAAGCCTTCTGAACTTCTTGTTAGTGTGCGTGCTTATATGAATGTTTTACAGACCGTGGAAAATTATGGTACGTTGATGAAAGTTGTGTGTTACGTCAAGTACATTGAACTAATTATTTACCCTGATGTATGTGCTTTCTCTTTTCATGCAATTGTTTGTTTCATTTCAGTGCATATAGATATAACAAGGGTATTTAACAATGCCTTATTGCAGCAAACTCAGCCTTTGGATAGCCATGGAGAAAAGACTGTTGCTGCACTTTACACACAGTGGTAAAGAATAAAAGTTTCTTACTAGTTTAATTTATATCTGGTATATGCAGATGTGCTAGTTAAATGACTGTCACTGAGAAATGGTTACATGATCTTTTTATACAAAGCTTTAATCAGTCTTTGAATCCTGCCTTTCAATTATGTAGGAGGAATTTTCTGCTATGTGAACTATCCATACCAAATTAGCTGCTTCTCAAATTAATATTTTGTCTATATTGCATGAATGTTTTACTGTGAATTGAGGAAATAGGTTGAAGGGAGAAGAGCCAATATAATGATCCATATATCAAGGGAAAGGAATGTAATACAGTCGAAAAGATCTTTCTTTGGTACTGACATGCTCATGATACAGTGTCGCCTAAGGCCCAAGCTCCTGCAGAATGTATTTCCTGCCTGATTATCTTTATTAGAAAACATTATCAATGTTGATGGACTATGACACTCTTGTTTCATTTCCAAGAAACTGCCTTTGTTCAGGCCCGAAACCCAGTGGAAGTCAGGCTTGTGTGGTAATTCCACAGGCAAGACAGGGTAGTTGATATTTGTCACAACTCGTACTTGCCATTGCCTTGGAAACAGATGTTGCCTGTCAATCCCAAAGTGAGATCTCCTGAAGTTTAGTTTTGAAGACCAAGAGAAACTAATTTTTTTAAGAGGCTCTGGGTAAAAGGAATATGTAAAAGTTTTCTCTGTAATTAAAAGAGATTACATCCTTTCTTGACTGATAATTTCTGACAGTGTGAGTGAAAAATGATTATTCCTTTCTGTAGTGGCTTGCATGTTGATTCAAATTGTTCAGATAGTTTTAATAGAAGCTATTGCAGGCCATAGTAATATTGTTGGCTCAATCCAATGTTTATAAATATTGTGGAATCAGTGGCTTGAAGTTAGTAAGAGATGCTTATCTATTTACCCACATTAAAATTATTAATAAAACTACTTTCTTTGTCGTGGCACAAAAGCTCAGTTTGGGCCTTCTTAAATTGTATCTGAATTCTCTTAGTGCGGTTAATTTCACTGGTAATTCTGCAGTTTAACATTTTAAAATTAGATATTAATAAAGTGCTGTCTGGATTTAAGAATATTCTTGTTTGCTCAGTCACATGTACAGTTACTCATTCCACTCTGAGAAATGCTGCAACCATATAATTGTGCTGTACTGCTTCAAGGGGTCTTTATGTACTGAATAAAGGAAAGCACAAACAGAAATAGCAGCATTATCAAGGAGCAGTAAAGTGAACTACTGAAAAGATTGCTTGCATGTGTATATTAGTTTTTTCAGTCACAAAAGTAAAACTTTCATAGAATTTCTTTTTTTCTCAAGGACTTTCGATTAATATTGAAATTGACAGTCTTTTAGATCTATGGTTCTTCTTCAATTTTATCCCCTTACTGTGATTGTATAGAATTTTGTTGAAACGTGTCATTAAAAATTATGATTTGCTTAAGTTTTGTGACAATTTTTGATTAATTGTCTTGAATTGAGAACAATGGTATCTGAATTGTTCATTTTACTGTAGGTATTCTGAAGTGTTGCTTCGACGAGTGAGTGCTGGAAACATATGCTTCTCTAATAATCAACGAGCCTTTGTTAGTCTCACTGCAGAAGGCGCAATTCCTTTTAATGCAGAAGAATTCTCAGATATCAGTGAACTTAGAGCCCTTGCAGAGCTTATAGGGCCATATGGTATGAAACTTCTTAATGAAACCTTAATGTGGCACATTGCTAGTCAAGTCCAAGAATTAAAGGTTAGTATTTTATTGAAGATAGAAATTTGTTAATTACATTGGTACTCAGTCATGATGAATGAATGGATTCCTTAGTTTTGTCCATCACACCTTTCAATGTCTTTGGACATCTTCACCTCACCTTCTGAGATGTAGCTCCAAGTATAACCACTGGGTTCCTTTACCTTGTCTCCCAATTTTTGTGCTAATGTGGCGTGTGGACCCTATGCTTGCACCTGGAAGGTGCTGAGTGGCCCACAGGCCCTTGTGTATCACTCACATTCTATCGTTCACACTAATTATTAGATTGTGATAGGAATTAGAGGAGGAAATGGAATCAGGGCTGAAACAGTGTACTGTGAATGCACACCATGACTCAACACAGCCAAAAAATGTCCATGCCTTAAGTGGGATTTGAATTCACAGCCTCTCTTGGCATTAGGCCTCTAGCCCGTGTGCCATCAGGCCAACTGTTTATTACGATATACCTAATTCTTCTACTTTAAATTATTTTTTAGTTGCAACCTTTATTTCTCTCTCTCTTGCTCTCTCTCTCTCTCGTGCGCGCTCTCTCCAAAGATTGGTAAGTTTAAAATAAAAAATATGATCTGGAACAAATCTATTTTTTCTTAAAAATGATTTTTTTTAAATCGTACTTGCAACAGTTTGTGAAAACATATTGTGTGTTTCCTGTTCACTATTGCACAAATGGTTGTGGAAGGTTTACCGCATATTTGCAACAGTTTGTAAAAACTTTCATTCTGTGTCTGCCATTGAAGACTCGGTGTCACTGGGTGTGAGGATTCTCGTGGATTTGTAGTAGTTTGTGATAACTTTAGTGAGTGTTTGCTGTTCATGACTGGTCAGCACTAGTGACTGGAGACATGCAAGATAAGTTGATTAGACCCATGAGTGATAAATTCGTGTACTAGTTCTTGCATTGTACGTGTGTCAGTAGATGGCAATACATGCCTGAAGCAGCAAATTTAAACTGTCATTATTGTAGTCAAAGAGCAGTAAAGAAATTTGTTACAGGCCCAACTTGCAAACATCTCCTTCCCTATTGTTAAAAGATCAATTACTGCAGTAGTGGGGAGGATTTTTCTTGTTGAACTGCTTTATCATCTGATAGTGATTCTTACTTTCAATCTCCCTCTCTCAAGACTTAGAAACAAACCCTAATTTAGGTGTAGAAATGTTATCAGAAACCCCTGCTAAGCAACTAAAGGAAGAAATTAACAAATTTCGAAAAGAGAGAGGAATTTACCACCTCAAGGAAAGAATTTGAAAGGAAAAAATGTTTCTGTGATATGTTAAGACTCCTTGAGGGGAAGCCCTCAAGGAAGAATATGTGGTGCAACTAGTGGAGTTTATATTGGTATTGTGGTGAGATTTCGTTGGCATTTAGAATGAAATAATTATGAGTGGTAATTGCCAACAATATTGTTTATTACAATAGCAGCTTTCGATGGCTTAGCCATCATCATCAGTTTTCTAGTACAAGGAAAAAAAACAAAACAAAATGACTTACTAATAATTTACAATTTTTAGAAAATATATTTTACATTTTAAGAATTGGAAGAAAGAAAGAATGAAAAAAAGGGGCCTTCCACTACATGATACACAAATTACTAAGCCTGCCCCTGACAAAATCTCGTTTTCTAAAAGAACTGAGCACTATACAACACATTGTTATGTCAAATGATTACAGCACAGAACTCCTTAACAACATAATATGCCACAAAATAGTCAAACAGAAACAAAAAATGTTCACTTCACACTTTCCAATAACACAAACACTAGACAAGTACACTTGCTTACCTTATTTTGGAACCCTTTCAGAAAATGTCGCACACATAATTCTCAAAGCAGGTATCAAAGTTTCATTCAAATCTCAGAATTCCCTTAAAAAATTGCTGTCCCCCAAACAATGCACAGATCTTTAAAAAAAAAAAAAGCGGCGTCTATTCACTAAATTGTCATGACTGCAAAGCCAAATATATTGGTCAATCAGGCAGGACATTCAATACCAGAATTAAAGAACATATACACTTAGAAACACAACACCTGTAAATCTCACTTCGTTAATCATTTACTCTAGACAGGCCATACATTCAATCCACACACAGATATTGGTATACTGGAAATAGAAAATCAATATCACACCAGATTAACTTTTGAAATCCTCCATATTCATTTAAATAATAACTTAATGAATGAAAACATAAACCATAGCCCCTCTCCTCTAATAAAATTATTACTAGACACCACTCTCACACCGCGCTCTTCCAGGGCGGCACAGTAGACAGCGCACCGCACTCAGGCCATTACCCTCCTCCACCGCACAGCCGGGTACTTAAGCGTCTTGGCTTGCGTGAGCCTGCATATTCGTTTTTGTGGCTTCCATACAACAGGTTAGAAATGGCTCAACTTACATTTTCTGTTTCAAAAATTTTAAATGTTCAAATTCAATTTCATTCATTTTTCTTGTAGTATTAAATCATTTAACACCCCCCTTTCTTTCTTTCAGTTCTTAAACTATTAAATATATTTTCTAAAAATTGTAAATTATTAGTAAGTATTTTTAATTTTTTGTACTATAAAACTGATGGCTAAGCTATCAAAAGCTGCTATTGGAATAAACAATATTGTTGGCAATGATGACTCATATAATTATTTCAATGTATGGACAAGCAAAATTCACATAGCAAAAGGCAATATGAAAAGCTAACAATATAAAGAGGTCATCACGGACTGCCTTGTTCTAGCAATGAATGAGTGGTTTCCAAATTGGGGATGAAATATTCATGCATGATGGTGTTCCTTGCACGGATCAAAAGCTGTCAAGAGTGAATTGGATTCCAGTGATATTTGTGTGTTTGACTGGCCAGGAAATAGTCTGGCTATGAATCTAGTAGAATCTATATGGAATGTTCTTAAAACGAAGGTGAAAGCAGAACATCCTACAACAGAGGAACACATCATGGAGTCCGTCATTACCATTTGGAATGAAGATAACGAAATTGTTGAATCATACAAAAAAGGCATGCCCAGATGAATTAATGCTTTAATTCATGCTAAAGTTGCTCACACCAACCATTAATGTTTGCAGCTTCTTCAATTCTATAGTTTAATTCTGTTTTGAGAAAATCAGGTTTTTGTTTCTTTTATATACCATTTTCCTAATAATTTGTCCACATCTGTATTTAAACAAATTCATATACCGTGGTTCGAGAAAGATGGTCATAAATAATTCTTCTGTACCTACAGAAATAGTAGTCGCTGCTACAGAAGCCACATGGGATTTTGTCCCAGGAAAATCAACAGCCTGATATAAAAAGGCATATCAGGAATTTAAAGCTTGGCAAATACAAAATTGCATAGATGTGATTACAGAAATGTAATGCTTGCTTATTGTAAGAAGTTGGTAAGTTAATGGACACTTATTCGTTATATAAAGACAAACCTTTTTCTTATTTTTTATTTTACAAAGTCACAGGCCCATAAAGCAACCTCTTAGGGGTTTATTATTCAATTCTGATATTCACAGTATATGTACCCAGCACCTTCACACCATCAGTAAATATGATTCCAGAGAAGAGTTTCATTTGGTGGAATGCCAGGAAAAAGAGGTTAATTACCTGTTTTAAATTTTTCTAATTGTCTAACAATCTAATAATCTATCAATTATTTAATCCCCAAACTAATTCGAGTTACATTTATTCTGGTTTGTTTAAATTGGCTTTGTACTTCACAAAGTTTTTCTTAATAAACAGCAGATTAAAGATGAATCGACAGTTGCTTATTTATGTTGCTAAGGATGTTAAATTTCTTAACATAAATACTTGACAGTCCTGTAGGGTTGCATGTTAACAATATAGACACACACGACTGAAAATTATTGAGAGATCTTATCAAATGAGTGGCATTGTCGTAAGTGAAATTCAACATAAAAATAAATAAAAATCACTGCTGAGATTTTGTTTTACGATATGGTTATCAATGAGGCTTGTTATCTATGTTATTGATTTTCTGTGGGATGACCAGATATTACGAATCTGTGTTTTGAAGGAGATCAAAATGTGAAAAATTCAATTCTACATCCAATTATAGAGAAGGAATGATTTAAAAAATCTAATGTACACGGAAGGAACATGCAAAGCTAAATTAGCATTTTCAAGAAAACTACTGGCTATTCCTTTGGCTATTCATAAGACAAAAGTTTTTTTAAAAAGCTATTGCAGATAATAAAGCATTTATTTATATTTGTACAAAGAAATGTTTTGAGGCTCAATTTGCCCCATCAAATAAGTCCTTGATAATACACATGACTGACAAGAATTTTAATAAATTAGCATTTAATGGAAACTTAATTGCTCAAGCCTAAAATAAGCCTCAACAAATCTGAAAGATGATCAATAACAACTCTATCAGTAAAATATTAGAAAGTGTACCCTCAATAAATACTTTCTTTATTGATAGTGTTAGAGAAATAATTCCTGAGACTGCTGACCTAACAGTCAGTATGATCCAAGCTTCTTTTTAAATAATAGTCATAAACAACATAAAGTCATCATTAGCTTCCAGCAAGCAACTGTACAATTGTGCACAAAGCAATTCACTCTCTTGCCAACAGCAATTCAGTAGATCTAGTGTAGAACATCAACTCCTCTGTTATTAAGAACGAAGTTTCTATGAATCAAAGTCCTATCATATATAATTAATGAGTGCTTTGACAATGGTTTCCAAAGTTATACTAACTCAAGGAAAAGGAAGAAATTAAAATATTCCAAATAATTACAGTCATATTTCTTTCAAATCTACACTTTGAAGTGTTTGAAAGACTAATAGGATTGCAGATTAAATAGCACATCAAATCAAATAATTAATATTGAAAGGTGAGTATGGTTTTAGAAAATATGTGACATGTGATATTTCAAAATTTTATTCAGAATTGCCTTGAAGCTAAAGAAAACAAATTTTGTAAGTGCCAAATTTTATGATTTAATCAATGCTTTTGACACAGTATGTCATAGCTTGTCATGGAAACAATGAATGTGACATTGATTTGTCATTGTCAACCTGAAGTCCATTGATTTCTCCCTCTTAGCTGTGACATTATTCAGTTATATCTAAGCAATAGGTCTCAATTAGTTTATTTTTACAATACTTTCTCTAAATTTTCTCACGTGAACCGCTGAGTACCATACGACTCGATACTGGAGCCCAAAGCTTGTGAAGTGTACAAGAATTATCATTAAATGTAAAATTATTAATTAATGCAGTGACAAAGTGTGATATATTGTTATATGTTGTGTGTTCTATATTGTGATAAGTGTGTATATGAATCTTTGTGACATATGCTTGGGCTATGTTATTAAAAGGGTGTATGTAAATCTTGGATATTTTGTGTTGTTTTATTAAGAGCATGTTGTACATACCTACGAACATACATACATTCATACCTACATGCATACGTACGAACATACATGCATACGTACGAACCTACATGCATACGTACGAACCTACATGCATACGTATGAACCTACATGCATACGTACGAACCTACATGCATACATAAGTACGTACCTACATGCATACATAAGTACGTACCTACATGCATACATAAGT